TGGGAAGTGGAAGGGGAAACGACGGCTTTACGGAGGCAGAAAGCACAGGACTTGGGGACTGACTGGATGTGTGCAGTGAGGGAGACGGGGGTGGCTAAATGTCTTTCTGGTCCCTGGTGTGGGGGGCTAGTAAACCCTTGGGTGGGAGAGCATGCTCTCACTGCACATGGACGTGGCCTGCCCAGACTCAAACAACTCGAAGACGGGGTAGATTCAGCATAAAACTCATGAAGCTTCAGGCCCCTCAGTGGACAGGGAGCAAAGCCCTGACAAGATCTTCACATGCTAATACCTTTCTGTAGAATTGGCAAAAGTAAGATATTCTGACAGCAGTCAGCAAAGACTTAGGCTTCTTTCCCTCGAGCTTCCATCCCACTGTGTTCCTTTATGTGTCAGAGGGTGTTTGTGATGGTTTAAGTCGTGTTACCTTGGCTGGGCCACAATTCTCAGTGGTTTGGAGTTATGATGTAGTCATCCCCCATGATGAGATCTGATACAATGTAATCACCTCCATGACAGGATGTACTGTGTGCAGCCAGTCACTTGAGAGGGAGCTTCCACAGGGGCATGGCCTCCTTCCCATCTGTATGGAAAAGCTCTGGGAAAGCTCTCCGGCTTTTTGCTCGATCTGGATGCTGCATCTGGCTGGTCATCATCTGACCTCTGGTTCTTTGGACTTGAGCCAGCAGCCTGCCATATTGCCTTATGATCCTGGGATTCATCAGCCTCCACAGCCCATGAGCCAGCCACCTGCCATCTGACCTGCTGGTCTAGGGTTCATTACCTCCTGCAGCTATGTGAGCAGGAGAAGCCTCCAGCCTAATGTCTGACCCATGGACTTGGACTTGGGAATTACCAGCCTCTACAACTGTGTGAGCTATTTCCTCGACATAAATCTCTCTGCATACACATGCATGTATAAGCATCACTGTTTAGCCTCTCTAGAAAACCCAGCCTAAGACATTGTTGAGTGGCCCCAGCCATTTTTGAATCCAGCTAAGGAGAAATCGAGCTGGTGACTCACTTAATTCAGATTTCAGTGGCTGATATTCAAGGAGTTAATGTCCCTTCCATGTATGGCTAACGCTTGATACCATCTTGCCATCAGAATGGTTTCTAGAACATTCCTTCCACCCCCTGGACCCACTTCCCCAGCATCATAACATGGATGTGCAGGTTGTCCTGTGATGTGAATGAGAACTCTTGACAATCAGCATAGGACGTATGTCGGTGCAGGAGAAACAAGACTTGAAATGTATGGAGTCAGGAGACTTCTGCTTTGGCCACAGTGGAGTAACTGGGTTCAGACTTTCCCTCCCACCATAAACAGCTAGAAAACTGGGCAAAATAGACGAACCAACTGCATCCCGACATTGGCTAATGGACAGTGTGTTGCTCTGGTTCCTGAGAGAAGGGAAAGAAATGAACTAAGGCCGATGGACAGCCTGGTCTTCTGACTGGAGGCACAGACCACAGTGCCAGGGAGAACCCAACCAGGTCATGGGGGCCTCACTGAGTTGAGGAGACAAAGATTAAGTTGGGGGAGGCAGGGGCAGCTGGATTTCTCAAGGTCAGATGTCAGAGAGATGGGAGCTATGCAAAGAAAGAGCTCCAGAGGTCTTCTGAAGGTCCCCCTTTTGTCTGATTTTTAATACTACGGTACACAGGTAGGAGCTTTGGTGGTGTGGTGGTGAAAGCATTTGGCTACTAATCAGAAGGCAGCAGTTCAAACCCACCAGCCACTCCTTGTAATAAAGATGAGACAGTCTGCTTCTGTAAAGACTTACAGCCTTGGAAACCCTGTGGAACGGTTCTACTCTGTCCTGCAGAGTCGCCATGAGATGGAATGGACTCAGCGGCAGTGGGTGGGTGGATACAGAAAGTGAGACACACCAAGTATAAGATGCACGCAGGCTTCCTTATCCTCCTGCCAGTTGCTCCTTGTTGTTAGGAGCTGTTGGGTCAGTCCCAGCTCCCAGCGACCCCACTGTACAATTGAACAAAACCCTGCCCGGTCCTGCTCTAGCCTCACAATCATTGCTATGTCTAAGCCCAACATTGCAGCCACTGTGTCAGTCCATGTCAGTGAGGATCTTCTATTTTTTTCTGACTCTCTACTTTACCAGCCATGATGTCCTTCTCCAGGGACTGTGCCTTCCTGATAACATGTCCAGAATGTGAGACAAAGTCTGGCCATCCTTGCTTCTCAGGTGCATGCTGGCTGCACTTCTTCTAAGACAGATCTGCTGGTTCTTCTGGCTGGCCAGGGTACACTCTTCACTGACACCATAGTTCAAAGGCAGCAGCTCTTCACTCTTCCTGATTGTGGTCATTCAGTCTGTGGGTCGCTTGGCTGGGCCTGGCTGAGTGGCTGGACAGCTGGATGTAGTACTCCCCATGATGAGACTGGTCATCCACTCCATGGTGGGCTCTACTGTGAGCAACTGAGTAGCTGCCTTAGGGAATGTGGTCTGCTTCCTGTATATAAGGAGAAGCTTTGGGGAATGGTGTTTAGCTTATGGCATGCTTGGACCCTGCATGTAGCCGTGTCGTTGTTCAGCAGCCTGCCATGCTCTGCCAACCCTGGGACTTACAATGGACTTAAATTAATGGCCTGCCATGTAGTTTGGTAACATCGGGACTGGGTCTTTTTATTTGTCAGCATTGGGCTTATCAGCCTCAGCAGCCAGCAGCTGTCCGAGTGAAGAAACGCCTCTAGCTCCAGTGGGCCGGGAGCAGGAGGTAGAGCTGGACCCCAAGAGCCTGGCACTTTGAACTCGGACTTAAAGCCTCCAAGTTGTAAGAATAAACTCCTGTTTGTTAAGGCCATCCCATTTGTGGTATATTCTTGTCAGAGTGGCACTGGGGAACCAGGACACCAATTTATTGTCCAGCTTTCACATGCACATGAGGTGATGGAAATACCATGGCTTAGATCAGGCATGCCTCAGTCCTCAAGGAGACAGCTTTGCTATTTAACACTTTAAAGGGGTCTTTTGCAGCAGATTTGTCCAGTGCAGTACATCGTTTAATTTCTCAACTGCTGCTTCCGTGGGCACTGACAGTGGACCCAGGGAAAGTAAAACCCTTGACAACGGTAATATTGTCCCCATTTATCATGTTGCTCATTGGTCAGTTGTGAGGATTTCTGTTTTCTTTGTGTTGAGGTGTAATCCATACTGAAGATCTTTGACCTTCATCACTAAGTGCTTCAAGTCATCCTCACTTTCAGCAAGCAAAGTTGTGTCATCCGTGTATCGCAGGTTGTTAATGAGTCTTCCTCCAACCCTGATGCCACGTTCTTCTTCATATAGTCCAGCTTCTCGGATTATTTGCTCGGCATACAGACTGAATAAGTGTGGTGAAGGGACACAACCCTGATGCATGTCTTCTCTGCCAGTTCCTATTAGGAGACTTTAAGTATACTTTGCCTGGCACACAGTAGGTGCCCAGTACGTTATCACTTTTACCATTGTTATGTACGCAGGGCATTCTTCTGGTCCTATGACATGTAAAATCATTAGCAGAGGAGCTAGTTCTCACTATTGTTGTTGTTGTTAAGTGCCGTC